TTCCCACAAAGGTTCCTGAGAACTACGATTTAGTTGCGTTCACACCAAAAAGCCCCCTGAACTAAATTAGTTAATCGGAACCTTTTTTACCACCTTTTCAGTCCCTGCTAGAGAACAGGGACTTTCGTCTGAGAAAAAGGTTCCTGTGTCTGATTGGCTGGGCGGAATGCAAACCACGCCCCGTCAAACTCCCAAAAACGTTTGTGAAGCCGCAATTTTATTATCCTCGCATTGCATTATTAGCATTAGCATTAGCCCAGCGCAGAAACGCAGAGAGACTAACTTATGACAACACAAAATAAAACATGGGAGCGGTGGAGATGAGGAGGTGTCGGCGTTCTGGCCGTTTACTCGGAAGGCTTCAGTAGAAGCTGCTGGGAGTCTTCTACTGAAGCCAGTCCCCAACTCCGGGGACTTCCGGCCGGGGATTTTGGGTGGCAGTATACGCCGTGAAGTGGTTTGCTGCCTGCCAGTAAACTCAAAGCAGAAGAAGAAGTTACGTCAGCGGCTTCATTTGCCTAATCCACCCCCATGAACTAATTTCCGGTGTGAACGCGATCTGTACTTAGTTCATGAGAACTAAAGAGTTCTCAGGAACCTTTGTGGGAAAAGTACTTGGTGTGAACGCGCCTAATCACTGTTCGTGGTCATTTGAAAACAAATGCCGGTTTCGGACACACAAACACACCGAACAAACACAGAGCGGAGCTGAGCATAAACACACACACACATCATGCGCCCTGGTGAACGGACATCTCCTTCATGAAACGAGTAATAGGGGGAATAATCGGGCAGTTCGATAGAGGTGTGTGTGGTAGCCGCCTCGATCTCTATCAGCTGTTCTAATGAAGGGAAACAGTGAAGTAAACAGTAAAAGGCACAGCTCTTTACAGCTGGTGCTGCTCTTCTCAGATTCTGCTGAGTTACACGTTACTGCCTCCAGTGCCCTGTACGACGAAGCCAGTTCAACAGACCCTGGATATGTTTGAGTTACCCGGCTTAACTAACACTAACAAACGCGATCTCGCTAAGCGGTCCTACGAAGCTGGTTATCAAAGTTAAAGTTAAGTTAAAGCCTTTTATTGTCATTATACACAGAGTATAACGAGATTCAGAGTGCAACTCTGTCCCGGAGTGCAAAAAATACAAACACAACACTAAAAAACACGGCAATAGGACAGACAACATAAACAATCATACGGGGGGATAAATAGTTAAATATTGATATAAAAACAGTAAATAAAGTGCATTTAAAGTGTGTGTATGTGTGAGAATGGTTACGGTTATTGCATTATGTGTGGTGGTTGAGCAGCCTGACGGCCCAGGGGTAGAAACTGTTTTTGAGTCTGTTTGTCCGTTACTTGAAGCTCTTGTCTCTCCTCCCAGAAGACAGGAGAGAGAACAGTCTGTGACCTGGGTGAGAGCTGTCCTTTATGATTGTGTTAGCTCTGCTGCGGCAGCGGGAGGTGGAGATGTGTTCCAGAGAGGGCAGGGGGCAGCTGATGGTTTTCTCTGCCATCCGTCACATCTGCCTGCCATCACATCGGCGGCCGATCAATCGGAGCATCCTTAACTTACATGATGCTGAATTGATCGATATCGACCGATACTCACTCTCTGCCGATCGATCGGTGCTCTCTAAAAATGCCGATCGCGAGAGCCGATCGCATGACGTAAAATACATGACACTTTTCACGGCAAAACATTCTCTCCAAAATGGCTTCACCGGTCTGGCAGTATTTTAAAGTGTCGGACCGGTGAGCGGAGCAAAATGCACAAGAGTAACGGCCCCTACACACGGCGGCGTGCGTTGTCGCTTGCCGGCGGGGGGGGGGCTGAAACTCGACCAACAACCAAGCACATGAATCTCCCGACCCAGACACACAAGCACGCGGTTTGATTGGCTAGAGCTTGTACTGGCATATGATTCGATTGGCTGACGCCTCCGTCGAGGCGTCAAAAGTAGAACATTGCTCTACTTTTGCAGCGAGCACCGTGAGAGAAGCTACGCTTTGCTCCCACAATGCAGTTTGGAGAATCGTGACGTCACCCCATTCAAAGTGAATGGGCAGAAGCGTTGAAGCGGCAACGCACGCCGCCGTGTGTAGGGGCCGTTAGACCTAACACACTTAGCTATTTGATCTACCTCTGGAACAAGCTAAACTAGTTATACATATATTTATTCTTCACTGTCGGGTCACTCATTACTGGATCAGTGAGCTGCATGAGATACTGACAGGCTGTCAGGAGAGAGAAGGGGAGAGAGGAAAAGAGAGCGCTTCCGCTCATTTCTCCCGTGTTATTATCCAAAGTTAATGTAAACTTGAATAATGTACTTCATTTGAATGTAACAATTATGTTGGTTGTTGTTGGTGGAAGCACCAGTGATGAATGAGCCCCATTAACTGAGTTTTAAACATAACTTTAAATGGAAGATCCCCATAGGCCCCGCCCACTCGATCCGATCAGAGCATCCCTGACAGGTCCACATACTGCTTCCCCGCAGCGAGGCTCCCCCCGCCCTCCTGTTGACAGTTCACGAGCGTCGATCTCTTCGCCCGCCCCCCCCCCCTTGATAATTCACGATCGTCAGCACACTGATATATATTTTTTTTAATGGCACTTCATATCAAAAAGGTTGCCGACCCCTGTTCTATGGCTATGACATAACCGCCTTTTTGGGGCCTCTGTCTTTTTCTCCTTAAGTCAGGAGCCCCCCTCCCTGTGTACTGCTGTGAGGGAAGAGGGAAGAAACTGTCTCTCCCTTATCAGTGAAACCATTATAGGCCTTACACACTCAACTTAACAAACCACTTGTGTTTTGTTTATACTGTAAATATAGAAAATCATAAAATATGAAGCATTTTCATCGTGGGTTATATAAGAATATAATTGATTATATTTCATTATAACTAACTTTCGTTTTAAGTATTCACTTGATACTATGAAGATCTCAACAGCACCATCATTACTATGACATAAGAGGGTGCCATAAAATGTTCTGATAATACTTGCATACTTTTACTTAAATAAGGTTTGAATTAGGGCTGTGAAATTTATCGTATTTTAATCTCTATTACGATTTTGGCTTTCAACGATTATGAAAACAACGTAATCGGAAAAAAACGATTATTTTGCTGCATTCCCTTTCGCAATGATGCTCTCAATGTGTCTTGCGTTACACAACTTAGCATTTAGATCAATAAAGGCCTTGGGGCTATGTTGTTTGATTGAATTAAACACAATATATAAACTCCACTAAGCTGTTGTACTGTATCTGAAGATCTTAATATGATTGCTCATATTTTAAGCCATCTTTTTCCCGGCCCCTTGCTTTGGATCATTTTCATCAACTGGCCCCCATTCCAAACTAATTGAATAGCCCTGGCGTAGTGTATCTGTGAAAAATCGCAAATACAATTCATTGTTTACATTGCGGCTAGTGCTAAACCAGAAGAAAAAAAACCTTTTTCATTTTTAACTGTAAGTGGAAAGGGGCTGGGCTACATGAGGTGAATTGAGCCAACATAATTAGACCATTTTTTTCTTCTGACTGTGTTGTTGTGGCAATTCAGCACTCACAGAAGGAAATAATAAAAACAGAGAGGAATCAATAAAACACAAACACAGATATAGTTGATTAATTATTATTTCGTTGTACAACAATCAATAATAATGAGGAAACATTACCTTGCACACAAGCAGTCAATAGTGGTAATGCTCCAACGAGTACAAGTATTTCACATCATATATAGCAGCTATAATGAACGAACACACAATTTCCCTTACATACCTTAGGGATATACGCGTCCCCCGTAGCGACATTAACTACCAGTCGCGGTATGCCAAATGTAAAGAATGGATAAAATGGATAAAATGTATCCCAAAATAGTGCATCATAATGCAGGTAGACTCCCCTGATAACTACCCTTGCATTCCTCCACAGGCTAAATAAGTATAAGTGAACTTTTGGAAGAACCAGAGAAAGGGGTTAAAATGGATAAAATGTATCCCAAAATAGTGCCTCATAATAAGATTTGACATGGGCAAACAGGCTATTTCAGACTTCCATGACATACACCGGGAAAACCACCTCACTTTGGCCGCTCACAGAGACCCAAAACACGGACTACAGACCTCCAGCATATCTACCTGACATGCGTACTTCCATAACCTCGCGCACCTTGGGACCCCGGGCCCCCGAACTTAAGCACTCCCCCACGGACTAAACCCAGATGATTACACCCTCAAGAAACTCGTGCCCCTGGTAACCTATAAGGGGGTCTATTTTGCGGTGCTTTACAGTCCGCCCATCGGACACCATAGTCGGACTTATTCACAGCAGCAGCACCCATCCTCCTATGGAGGATGTTCTCATGGCCCTGGTAACCTGTAAGGGGGTCTATTTTGCGGTGCTTTACAGTCCGCCCACCGGACACCATAGTCGGACTTATTCACAGCAGCACCCACCCTCCTATGGATGATGTTCTCATGGCCCTGGTAACCTATCGGGGTGTATTTTGCGGTGCTTTACAGTCCGCCCATCGGACACCATAGTCGGACTTATTCACAGCCGCAGCACCCACCCTCCTATGGAGGATGTTCTCATGGCCCTGGTTACCTATCAGGGGGTGTATTTTGCGGTGCTTTACAGTCCGCCCATCGGACACCATAGTCGGACTTATTCACAGCAGCACCACCCACCCTCCTGTGGAGGATGTTCTCATGGCCCTGGTTACCTATCAGGGGGTGTATTTTGCGGTGCTTTACAGTCCGCCCATCGGACTCCATAGTCGGACTTATTCACAGCAGCACCACCTGCCCTGCTGGAGGTTCACACTTTAACTTGTTTTACCCTCCTCTGCCTTACACATCCTCCCACATTTGAGCACTCCTCACGTGGACTAAACCCCTTCATGCACACCACCAGAACCTCGTGCCCCTGGGGATCTTAATGGGGAAACACCCATATTGGGTTATAAAAAAGAGGACAAATTAAGTAATTTTAACAAACTTTATTTACAGAAATATATACATTGACACTTTATAACATTATAACATTATTCACTCATCCAGCACAAGCGGACTGAGTACAACAAAACATTGCATATTTACAAGTTGATCACTGGCAACATTGTCCGTATCGGGTGAAGTTGGTGCAGAGGCTGGCACCCTCTCTTCACCCGTGTCTGAGGGACTGTGTTCGGCCATTGACTGTTCCCTCTTCGCCGCTCTCCAAGCGTTGAAGTCTTTGTATAATTCATCTGACGTCTCGGTATCGGTGGAGTCTTGGTAGGGAGTAGGGCTATGCTCCTCTCCAGAGCTGTCATGGTCACTGTGGATGTCAATGTCCCCCAAATTGTCTTCACTCACCCCTGATGCTGCTGCGGCCGCTGCTTGCAGTGACTCTGTGAAGAGCATTCGTATGTCCGCAGCCTCCTTCAAAGAAGGATTCTTGGCATAAAATGTGTCTGCAGTTGCAGTGTTGTGACACATGAAATCACTCACTCTTTGGCGGTTGCTTATGTCCTGAAACCTCTTCGCATTATCGGCGTGGACTGTGCGGAGGTCGGTGAAGTTAATGGGACCTTTTAGTCCAACATCAGCCCATGCCAACCTCAGGAAGGTGGCAAGGTTCCTCTATGGGTTCTTCCCCGCTATGCAGAGGAAGTAGCGGTTGTTGGTACCGGTCAGCGTCCCCTTGATTTCCAGCCACCTTTTCATCCATCCAAATTCTTCTATGGTGAGATACATCTGCGCTTCCCCGAACGCGTTGGCCGTCTTGTGGTTGCTTACCTGTTATGACAGAGTTAGAGAGCGTCAATACAAGTATCAATCATCCACAACATGTGTATCACTGCCAGAATAAACACATGTTTTAATAGCTCACTCACGTGGATGAGGTGGCCAAAGGCAGTGCCAGTTATCTCCGCCTTTAGGACATCCGTGTTGGTCATGTTGGAGTAGACCCCCGGACGGTGCCCATAAATGCAGCTCCAATTGAGGGTCATGTACCCATAGAGCAGGCACCGGGTTGCGTGAGTCGGATTGCTGGTCATCACGTCCAGGAGCTGAGGGATGCGAGTTTTGGCCGCAGTCAAACATGCCATGATGTCTTTATGGCTTGGCAGACCTTCCATCTTGTCCCGCTTCACCTGCATCTGGTGGATAAACACCTTCTTTCTCATGGACTTCAGGATGGCAGCAACTTCCCGTGTGATTAAAATCATGTCATTCTGGTTGAGCCTGCTCCCCTTGCATGGTGTTTCATTCATGTACTTGAGAAAGTGTGATATATTTTTGATATAGAAGTCAGATGTCGTGACCTGTAGGCTTGACTTTATCAGGCTCCGGGACCACCCACGTATCCTCTTCAGATCCCTCAAAAAGAGCCAGTCAGACAGGCGATTGAAACCGTGTGCCATGAAGCTTAGGAATGATTTGACTCTGCTTATTTTGGAGACTGCGTTTTCTTGGAGCCTCACTGTTGGATCGATGCCCTCATAATGGTCCCGGTAGCCTTGCAGATACTTCTCCATGATGCGTGGGAATATAATGTCCCGCATTCGATTCCCCCGGCCCCTGCCGCTGAACCAGGGGGAATGTATGGGAGGGGAGGATGACGAGGCCTCGGTATCTATGGATGCAGGTTCTGAGGAGCTGGATACAGGTGTGTGAGAGGCAATGGGGGACTTCCTGCAGGAGGGACCTTTGGACTTGGACAGCCTCTTTGGTGTTGACTCTGTTCGGGATCGTTTCCTTAGAAACACCCGCTCTTGGTCCTCGGCCCTCTGGTTCATCCTCTTTTGGTTACGTTGAATCCTCTGCTGCAGCATGCAGCGCAGGGATTTCACCTCAGCAGCATATATGTCCCTCTGAGCCTTCATTCTGTTTGCATCCATCCTCCATTCCTTACAGTCCGGGTTGTCACATTTAATCACTGGGGACAAGGGTGGAGGTTGTGACAGGACCTCATCACCCACAGTGTCAACATCCCAAGAGGTAATCATTGCTACTCTGGGGTTTGTCAAACTGAGTTCATGAAGCTTCTTTGTGGCCACTTTCATTTTTAGTTTAGTTAAAACCACATGTAATTGCTGCCGGGACAGCTCAACATGGTTTCTGTACAAGTGGCGGTCCAGCCTTGTCCCGTTGTACTCGCATCCTGCAATAATGCAGGGATGGAGCCTAATGTTTATCCGTCCTTTCGCCAACAACAGCAGAATTCTTCTTTCCACTAAATTACGCACACTATGGTTCCTCAGCAGGTGCTTGCTCAGGGCACGGTAGGGACTATTACAGATAGGACAACCGATCGCCATCATTTTTGTATGCCTGAGCATTTCGGTACCGGGAAGTGTCACCAGTATAATGTATAGAACCGGGGGGGAAAAATAAGGATAGGTGAAAATAAGAAAGTTGCACTCAGCGAACTAGAAAGACCCCATGTCAAATCTCTCCGGTTTATTTTCAATAAATAACCCATTTGCATCATCGTGCGAAAGGTGTCCCATTTAGGCACTCGTTAGGCGGGCAGAGATCCCTGTCATCTATCGGTCCTATCATCCAGGCAAGGCGGGAGCCAAAACTGGGTGAAATAGTGCCTCCTAAGGCGGGTCGAGTCCCCTGGCAACTCCCCTTACTTTCTTCCGGAGACCAGTTCAAAACGTTAAGTTTGGTAAGAACCATGATTGGGGGTCATCCAGGCAACAATTGTATCCGATCCAAAGTCCTCATGCAGCGGATGCATTCTTCCATGATCCAGAGACGGATGCAACCAGAGAACCAGAGAAAGAGGTTAAAATGGATAAAATGTATCCGGGAATAGTGCCTCCTAAGGCGGGTAGAGTCCCCTGACAACTCACCCTACATTCCTCCAGAGTCAGAAAAAGTTAAAGTTAACTTTTGGAAGAACCAGAGAAAGGGGTGAAATTGGTGAAAAGGTGTCCGGAAATAGTGCCTCATAATGCAGGTAGAGTCCCCTGGCAACTCCCCTTGCATTCCTCCAGAGTCAGAAAAAGTTAAAGTTAACTTTTGGAAGAACCAGAGAAAGGGGTGAAATTGGTGAAAAGGTGTCCGGAAATAGTGCCTCATAATGCAGGTAGAGTCCCCTGGCAACTCCCCTTGCATTCCTCCAGAGTCAGAAAAAGTTAAAGTTAACTTTTGGAAGAACCAGAGAAAGGGGTGAAATTGGTGAAAAGGTGTCCGGAAATAGTGCCTCATAATGCAGGTAGAGTCCCCTGGCAACTCCCCTTGCATTCCTCCAGAGTCAGAAAAAGTTAAAGTTAACTTTTGGAAGAACCGCAGAAAAGGGGTGAAAATGGTGAAAATGTGTCCGGGAATAGTGCCTCATAATGCAGGTAGAGTCCCCTGGCAACTCCCCTTGCATTCCTCCAGAGGCAAAATAAGTTAAAGTTAACTTTTGGAAGAACCAGAGAAAGGGGTTAAAATGGTGAAAATGTGTCCGAAAATAGTGTCTCGTTATTCCGTCGAAACTCCCCTTGCATTCCTCCAGAGGCCAGTTCAAAAACTTAAAGTTTTGTAAGAACCGTGATTGGGGGTCCTCCGGGCAACAATTGTGTCCGATCCAAAGTGCTCACTCATCGGACGCATTCCTCCATGATTTCCCCATCATGAGAAATAGGCCGTTTTTTTCTAAGTGCTCTCAAAAACCGGGTTTCCGATTTCGTGCAGAAGGTAGCTTGGAAAAGATGAATGAAAATTGTTAACGGAGGAGGGGAGGTCTCAATTCCCCTCTACGTTGAAAAGTGCAACGGGTCAGTGGAAATGTCTCCGGGGCTTCCTCCCGAAGCGCCGAAGGGTTGAGCCCCTCACCCGTTGGCACTTAGCCGTGTTTCGAGAATTTTTACAAACGTAGTTTTTGATGAATTTAAGATATAATTGACCGTTTTATTTACTTTTTTTTGCTTTCCACGGGTGGGGGTGCACGGCAGGCCGCATATGAGCTCCCAAATTCGGCCCGGAACCTCCGGGAATCGGGTCCATTTCATCCACATGTCACTCCCCCATCAAATGTACATGAAATGGACACGAGGAAATGTACATGAAATGGACACGAGGAAATGTACATGAAATGGACACGAGGAAATGTACATGAAATGGACACGAGGAAATGTACATGAAATGGACACCAGGAGAGAAGAACCAGGGGTCAACATGGATACGTTTTACCCCGAAATAGTGTCTCTTAAGGCGGGTACCAGTCATGGGAAGATGTCCAGACCCTGACTGGACTTAAGCCGATTTGCATTGGAACTCCACATTGCATTCTTCCAGGGACACCAACATGCATCCAGTGTACAAGGAACAAGAACCAGGGGTCAACATGGATACATTTTACCCCGAAATAGTGTCTCTTTAGCAGGGTAACAGTCATGGGAAGATGTCCAGACCCTGACTGGACTTAAGCCAATTTTCATTGGAACTCCACATTGCATTCTTCCAGGGACACCAACATGCATCCAGTGTACAAGGATGAAGAACCAGGGGTCAACATGGATACATTTTACCCCGAAATAGTGTCTCTTAAGGCGGGTACCAGTCATGGGAAGATGTCCAGACCCTGACTGGACTTAAGCCGATTTGCATTGGAACTCCACATTGCATTCTTCCAGGGACACCAGCATACATCCAGGGTACAAGGAACAAGAACCAGGGGTCAACATGGATACATTTTACCCCGAAATAGTGTCTCTTTAGCAGGGTAACAGTCATGGGAAGATGTCCAGACCCTGACTGGACTTAAGCCAATTTGCATTGGAACTCCACATTGCATTCTTCCAGGGACACCAGCATACATCCAGGGTACAAGGAACAAGAACCAGGGGTCAACATGGATACATTTTACTCCGAAATAGTGTCTCTTTAGCAGGGTAACAGTCATGGGAAGATGTCCAGACCCTGACTGGACTTAAGCCAATTTTCATTGGAACTCCACATTGCATTCTTCCAGGGACACCAACATGCATCCAGTGTACAAGGATGAAGAACCAGGGGTCAACATGGATACATTTTACCCCGAAATAGTGTCTCTTAAGGCGGGTACCAGTCATGGGAAGATGTCCAGACCCTGACTGGACTTAAGCCGATTTGCATTGGAACTCCACATTGCATTCTTCCAGGGAAACCAACATGCATCCAGTGTACAAGGAACAAGAACCAGGGGTCAACATGGATACATTTTACCCCGAAATAGTGTCTCTTAAGGCGGGTACCAGTCATGGCAACATGTCCAGACCCTGACTGGACTTAAGCCAATTTGCATTGGAACTCCACATTGCATTCTTCCAGGCCCATCTACATGCATCCAGGGTACAAGGAACAAGAACCAGGGGTCAACATGGATACATTTTACCCCGAAATAGTGTCTCTTTAGCAGGGTAACAGTCATGGCAACATGTCCAGACCCTGACTGGACTTAAGCCAATTTGCATTGGAACTCCACATTGCATTCTTCCAGGCCCATCTACATGCATCCAGGGTACAAGGAACAAGAACCAGGGGTCAACATGGATACAGTTTACCCCGAAATAGTGTCTCTTTAGCAGGGTAACAGTCATGGGAACATGGGGTGATGTATATGGGCACTTGAGCACCAGCAAGACCCCCACCTCCATAACCTTGTGCACCAGGTGAACATGTGTACCCACACTTAAGCACTCCCCCACGGACTAAACCAAGAGGGAACACCGGTCAGAAGTTCGTGCCCCTGGTAATACTGAATAACAACAAAATAGAACCCCCAAGGGTTGCATGTGTGTAGGCATAGTTGGTAACATTTGTCTTGCCCTTGGCAGGGAATTTGCATTGGTAGTTGACATCACATTTACATTGTGCGGACTTCAGTACATTTTAAGGAAAAGTCCCATGTTAACTATGTCCATAAGACAGACATATTCCTTACATTAGCCAACACACCCACATATGTTCCAGATGTCGAAAGGTCATTATGTCGTGACCTCTTTAGGTGTAATTCATACCCTGTCAGGATATGAACCACCTAACTAACAAGACTTAACTGTATTATCCTGAGGAGGGCCTCTTTGCACTTCCGCTCACCCCTAATATTTGCGGAAGAGACGATGGGCCTCTCTTTTCTGGAAACTGTAATTCAATAACATAACTAATTATATTGACTAGGTCCAAGACTGATATAACAGTGTGTTTCCTGTTTCCTGCAGATGTCCAGCAGCTGGTGGTGGTTAAAGAAGAGCCTCTCCCTGACCAGCAGGAGTGGAGCTCCAATCTGGACCAGGAGGACCCAGAGCCCCCCCCACACATTAAGCAGGAACAGGAGGAACTCAGGATCAGTCAGGAGGGAGAGCAGCTTCAGGAGCTGGAGGAGGCTGATATCACCAAGTCCACTTTCACTCCTGACCCTGTGAAGAGTGAAGATGATGAAGAGAAACCTCAGTCCTCACAGCCTCATCAAAGACAAACTGATCACATGGAAACAGAAGCTGATGGAGAGGACTGTCAAGGACCAGAACCAGCCAGGAACGCAGATCCAGAGAGCAGTTTACAACCAAAGACTGAGGACCACACTGGAGACTCTTCTGAAGACACTGATGACTCTTCTGAAGACACTGATGACTCTTCTGAACATGACACTGAAGACAGTGCTGATTGGAAGGAAAGCAGAGAACCTGCCTCAGGCTCAAACTCACTGAAAAATAGACAAGAATCTGTCAGTGATCCCCGACGTAGTGCTGAAAAGAAACCATTCAGCTGCTCAGTCTGCAACAAAGCTTTTTCACACAGTGGAAGTTTAAAGGAACACATGAGAATCCACACAGGAGAGAAACCCTTTCGCTGCTCAGTTTGTGAGAAAGGTTTTTCACAGCGTGCAAGTTTAAAGACACACATGATATTCCACACAGGAGAGAAACCCTTTCGCTGCTCAGTCTGTAAGAAAGCTTTTTTACACGCTAGCAGTTTAAAGACACACATGAGAGTTCACACAGGAGAGGAACTCTTTCCCTGCTCAGTCTGTAAGAAAGCTTTTTCACAGAGTGGAAATTTAAAGACACACATGAGAGTCCACACAGGAGAGAAAGCACACATCTGCTCAGTCTGTAAGAAAGCTTTTTCACGGAGTGGAAGTTTAAAGGACCACATGAGAGTCCACACAGGAGAGAAAGCACACATCTGCTCAGTCTGTAAGAAAGCTTTTTCACACAGTGGAAGTTTAAAGGCCCACATGACAATCCACACAGGAGAGAAACCATTCAAATGCTCAGTCTGTAAGAAAGCTTTTTCACTGAGTGGAAATTTAAAGGCACACATGAGAGTCCACACAGGAGTGAAAACACACATCTGCTCAGTCTGTAAGAAAGCTTTTTCACAGAGTGGAAGTTTAAAGGAACACATGAGAATCCACACATGAGAGAAAACACACAGCTGCTCAGTCTGTAAGAAAGCTTTTTCACAGAGTGGAAGTTTAAAGACACACATGAGAGTCCACACAGGAGAGGAAATATACAGCTGCAATGTGTGTGACAAAATATTTAAATGGCGTAATCATTTCCAAAGGCACAAGTGTGTTGGTCGTCAGTCCTCACAGCTTAATTAAATTCAAACTGAGGATAACGGAGAGGCAGAGCTTCCAATCAGCAGCTCAGCTGAACACATGGAAACAGAAGCTGATGGAGAGGACAATGAATAAGTCTTATGACAGTTCACACGTGAGAGAAATCTGTCTGACTGGATTAACATTGTTGTACAACATCCATATAAGACTTAAATGAACTCCATCTTTATCAACATAAGTGGACAATATGTTTAATGTTTTTGTCATTCTGATGTAGACGTTAACCACTGACTGTTGATGAACCATTTTATTTGGATTGAGGGCTCCAAGTTTCCATATAGGATGATTTGATGTATTGTTCTTTATTTCTAAATGTTTTGTATCATTGCTATCCTGTTAATGAGCCCTGTTTTACATAAATGTACCTGTTATCGGAGTGTTTTTGCTTCTGTAACTGTAAGGGAATACATTTTCCTATTTTGTATCCTGATGACCTAATGCCGTTACATGTAATACGTTACTCCCTAAGCCTGTTTTCACCCATCTGCAACCGATTCGCTAATAATCACAAATGTTCATTTCTTTGATCTCTTGACTCGACTATTTCTTTTTTAATAATCGTTACATCTCCTCAGGACCAAGTTCCCGTGTCCTGCCTGTCACCTGC